ATATAATATCATTGATAATCGTACCGTATGTTTCCTTTCTGATCTATTACTTTAAAAAAAAAAAAAAAAAAAACAAAATATAGCCTGATAATCGATAAAAGAAACGATAAACCAAGAATAATTATATGTGTAAATTTAAAAAATATGCTTAAGAATATACGCAAAAAGTAATTTAATCATTTAAAAAGAAAAATAATATCGCCATACGATAGTAATCATTCTCAATCAGTAAACTACGCGGGAAAATCATGATGTATCATGATAAAAAGCCTTCTCACAAATAATCATCACCTCTCAACAACAACAACAACAAGGCTACAAAACATGAAAGGAATTTGTTCAATTCTACCTTGCATCCCTCATATTCTACCCTTAAAAAAAAATGTGGACTAACAGATACATACCAATATAGATAGAGCGCAGAATGTATATAGATTGATATATTTTATGAATATAAATATAGATGGCCCTTGTTTTTTTTTTTTTTCATTATAAAATAGGAATGAATTTTTCAATTTTCCAGTCATATATGGAACCATAACCTAAGCATTTTTGCAAATGGCCACAATTATTATTACGAATAGCTATAAGCTAAGCAGAATCATTGGCTAAATTATGGCTGGCAGAAATATCAGTATGTATAAATAGATAGGTAATAGATTGGATTAAAGAATATAAAGTATGAACAATATCGATTCTTTTTATCTATCCATAAATCGATTATTACTGATTGATTGATTGAATTGATTTTCTTATCAATCCTTATTTTGCATTCCTTTTCATGAATTATTTATAGAAGTCCATATACATAAATGAAATGAAACCTGCGTAAGATCCGGAAATGAAGTGTCTTTTGCCGTTGATCTTCGATGATTAACAATCGGAATAATAAAATGAAATTCTGGGTGATGAGTGACAATGGGAAGTGACAAACGATGAATGGCTGAATCCCACGTTTTGCAAAATTCTACGATTTCTTGAAAAATGCACGATTCAGATTGTTTACTTCCCAATCGTGTTGTTGTCACTTTTGGTAGTAGTACTGATGTTGTTCCTGGTGCTGTTGTTGTTGTTGTTCCTGCTGTTGTTGTTGTTGTTGTTGTTGTTGTTGTTGTTGTTGTTGTTGTTGTTGTTGTTCCTGCTGTTGTTGTTGTTGTTGTTGTTGTTGTTGTCGTTGTTGTTGTTGTTACTGATATTGCCGTAATTGTTGGATTACAATAATTAGCATAAAATTGTGATATAGCCAGTGTTTCCGGATTATCATTGGTGATTACATGTCGTATTCTTGATGACATTCTTCTTTTCGCCAAATTATTTCCTTCCTTATTTTTACTTTATTTTTCATCCAATTTCGTTAAAATTTATAGAATAATATAATTACAAAAATTTCCGCCTAAAAATTTTCTATTATTCGTAAGAAAAAAAAAGCTTTTTGCGCAAAAATGCAGAAATATTTTCGAGTTAATAATAACTAATATGCTATTTGATATTAAAAATTACAACATGAAAATATGTATTGTAACATTTCGATAGTAATATTTCATATTTCTAAAAAAAAAAAAAAACACGAAAGTAGATAGGGAACACTTCCTAAATCATGATGAATTTATCCGCAAAAAAAAAAAAAAAGAAAAACTGTCATCGTTGTGGGATAATAATCAATCAGCATTCAAATGCAAAAATAACATCAAAAAAGTATATTCGTAATAAAACGAAATTTTTGAAAGGAAAAAAAAAGCAAAAGTATGAAATTTTGAAAAAGCAAAAAAGTTTTTTTTTATTTTTTTAGAAACTTCCCC